TTTACCCATATTGACCAATCCCGTGAATAAATTTTATTATTCATCAATGGTCGTGATTTCTACAATGATAAATATTTACAGTAAAAAATAACATCGAAACATATTTAAATCTCATACTTTCTCATCCTCAAACATCATTCTAAACATATCTTTTTCATATTTAACGATATAACCTCGCCGGAAATCCCATTGCCACATACTAAATGTACATGGCGCGCCCAGACCTCGAAACTACAGTCATCTTCAAGGCTACAAGGTTTTCTCCACATGATCTTATCTACATAGCACGCCCGTGGAAACTGTTATGTAATCGTAATAACTTTGCTTGCCTTCAGTCAGCGTGTTTCTTGATTGTTGCCCAGAAAAGAAATATGAAGGCTGCGAACAGGAATAAAATGAACTCGAAATCTTCGTAGTACGTTCGCTCAGAATAGTACGAGTACATTATCTTAGGCACATTACGTCGTAAACAAGGAAAACATTCTTGTTGTTTGGTGCAGAGGAATGTATCTGACTAGCGGAATGAAGGCCTAAAGCAATATGAGCTTACTATGGGCTAGTTTAATAATCCCCAAACGATACAAAATGCAAAGAGGACGAAAGGTCGCCAACATTCATAAATTCAATTCACATATACCTTAGTAATTCTGAAAGGTCCCTTTGTATTTTGGCTGTTACCCAACAGTTTTCTGCATTGCTACCAATCGCTTCCGTAGCACACCTGTAAGAGATTGCCAATTATCATGATACGTCGATCACCATGAGATGAGAGACAATCGCTAGAGACAAAGGTCAGCTGCAAAACGCATAACAAATGTTGTTTAAGTAACACTTGCCAAGCTTAATGCACATAAACTTGACTTCTGATCAGTTATGATTCAGTCACTGAATTACGAAGCAATCACTAAATGTCTGCCAAATAATTATATATACTTCTATGGCAGAAGCAGAAAAGCCCTACACGAATTTGTTGTTTTAAATGAATTGTCTCAGTGAATGAACGCAAAGCATTAGTTTACGTAAAGGAATAATGCAGGAGTATTGCAATAATACCCTCGCTTCACTCCCCTTTCTAATGTAAATAATTCAACTTTAACAGATATCTAAGGTTTCCTGGCTCAGGCCTACGCCTGTTATTTAACAAGGGAATCATTGCGGGTCACAGAAAACATTATATTGTGGGTAGAACACTTGTCCATATTGGATTTCGAGCACGAAACATTATACAAGAAATATTTTACTCGTTTAAATCAATTTATTGAAATAAACATGTTCGTCTTTCTGAAAATCATTACAATTTCTATATCTTACCATTTCCTTTACAATTTCTGAACCTTTCTATAATTGCTAACATACCGAAAATAACAAAAAAATGTTATCACAAGTCAATTTATCCATTCAAAATATTTTTATAAACACATACATTCTCTGATTACTGCAGTCACAAATGACCGTGTACCCTTTCTTACTTTCCTGAATACGTACATGTATACGGAGTCCCTATACGTAGTATAGGGAAAGTTATATAATACTGCGGAAAATCGATTTCGAGATTTCAACGGAAATTCACGTTTGGCGTCCCCTGATAACAAAATCATGTCTGTCCGTCTGTCTCTCCGTCCCTCTGTCCGCCCCTCTGCCTTTCTTTCGTCTGTCTGTCCGTCTGTTCGCCCATCAGTCTGTCCGTCCGCCTGTCTATCCGTTCATTTTCAAAATTTTCTCAAAAATGGCTCAAAATATTTTCTTTAAATTTTTTCGGGGTCTTCCTACAACAAAATTAAAGATAAAGATTTTATCTTCAAATAAGATCTGTTGTCCATAATTTGTTCTTTAATTAAGGTCAGATACATGTTTTTGAAAATTTTTGTTATTTTGGCGAAATATTGCGTGAAATGTGTACAATTTAAAAAAATACAAAAAGATTTTCTCAAAAAACGCTCAAATTTTTTTTCTTTAAACTTTTGGTAGGGATTGCGCTAAATGCACTATAAAGATGACATAAATGACACATTGCTCTATTTTTTTGAATTTTCAACAATTACAAAAATTTAATTTTTTGACGTTAAAACTTACATTAGTAGCAATTTGTTCACATTATTATGTTTATGAGTACATGTGCTGTAAATAATGTCACAAAGCTTCTTGGAAACTCAACCGCTTTCTGTCGAAACTAAATCAATATTTCGCAATTTCAAAAACACTCACATGCCATTTCCTCAAAAACTTCTTCAATTTTTTTCACACCTTTTGAACGGATAGTGCTAATTTTAATATGATGTAAAGTACATTTCGGAGTACTTTTTTGTTTTTTAAAAAATGACCCAAATGTATTTTTGTAAATATCTCTTACGTTGATAATGTGTACATTTCCAGCAATTTGTAAATACATTTGTATTTGTGAGTTAATGTGCTTCGAATAACTTGTAATTAAGGTTTTCAAAAATGAAAACTTTTCTGTAAAAATTGCTTCAAATTTCGAATATACTGTAGCGCCACTTTCTTAAAAACTACTCCAATTTTTTCAAAGAAAATTGGCTCCAATTTTTCAAAGAAGAGGCTGTTCAAAATGATCATCAAAATGAAAGAAGAGGCAATTCACATGAATTGTTGAATATCATTCCCATATTCGAATCTATCCAATCATCAGTCTCGTTCGAATACGAAGTCTACTTAGATTTAATTTAAATTTTACCACAAATTAACATGTTTTCTTCGACTATACACGTTCAATACGCATTAATTTACATGGTATTTATTATGTCTGGTTGCCGTTATTTCTGTCTCAATAAAACCGGGAATTTCTGGCTTATCACAACAAACTACATGTTTAAGTAAATTAGTTATATTCTTCTCCAGATGCAAGGGAATTCCACACCAATCTCTCAACCATCTCTGCCCCGCCGAATCTCCAGTAGGCGAGACCGCAGACCTCGTTCAAAAGTGGAACCGTTACGCCAGTGAGCACTTACGAAATCTCACGTGAACGGCGTGGCCGGAGCGAGCAGGTCGCTGGTTCATACCCGGAAAGCCATCTTCACGAAGCTGCTGCGGGCGTCGCCGGCTTCGCCGCAGTCAGCGCCGGAGACACGCTCCGCTCCGCTTGGCTGCTGCCGCCGTGCCGTCGCCGCTGCCAAAGGCGCTTCTTAAAAGACCGCGGTACGATACGCCATGAAATAACCATGAGTCGGCATGAGACGATAAAATGTTTCTGTAAGAGGATCCGAGTTTTATTCGTCAGTTTATTATAGTTTCTGAACATAAATAACGCAACATGTTGCGCTCCTGAAAAAGAGCAACGGGATAACTTAGTTACTGGTAGACGGATGTGATCCATTTTGCGAGAAGCGGAAAAATTGATTACTGATTTTGTTTTCCCTTTCTCAACGGACAGCACGTTACATGTAAACTTTGTCGTCATTCATCTTCCAATGATTTCATTGGAAAATAAGATCATTCTCTATTTCGTGGATTTGTAGAGAAATTAGATACTTTCGCTTAGTATTAGTATTTACGGATCCTTTTCCTTATCATAACAATTACAACGTAAGACATCTGGGCTACGATATAATTTGAATGCTCCTTTGAATGGGAAAATGTGATTATTGGGTTCTACGTGTACACGCTTATTAGAATGGTCGTCAGAGAATACGAATTTGTGGGAACACGGTGCGTAAGTACAGTCGATTAAACATTTGAGTGAGGGGGATCAACAACTTAAAAAAGGAGGTAGGAAGATATATAATGCAGAAGCTTCCGAGCGATGGAAGAAATTATTAGATCTACAATATTGGAAGCATTTACAAAAAACGGTAAATTAAATATATTAAAAAGTTGTCGAAAGAAAAGAATACTAAATTATTTCTTGTTTATAGTATTTTGAATAGGTATTAAATAAAACTATTTTCTCAAAGTTTTGGAATGAAGTAGTTCATCTTCAGGGCTGAATTACAGAGCAACTGTTATACCTGTGACTACAAATTAACTAGTGTTGTTTAAAACATAGAAATACCACATTAAATATTCTAATTATGTAGTTGCAATGCCGGCTTTTCGAAGTACAGCTGGTAACTAGGATAAGGTTATTCTAGGTTACTCTTACAAAGGCCACTCTACCAAATTTGTTTAAATTGTAATGAATTAAAATGGACAAAGTTCATATAGAAAACGAAATGTTTCACCAGCAGAAGGGAATCAAAGCGATGTGTGTTGGGAGTATAAAGAAAAATGGTCTCACAAGTAATTAAATGCATATAATTGGGAGTTAATTGACCAGCTATGTCAATTTGCATTCTGAATACATCTATCAGATGAATCTGCGAGAATAAAAGAATATCTAAATGATATTATTTTGAAAAATAAATTTGGGTACACGCAAAAGTTGAAACACATTAAGCGTTTATGTGCCCTATTCTTTCTTTTGCAGCAAAAACATCTAAAACAATCTAACTTTTGGAACCAAATGAAATGACTACTCTCCAAAAAAAATAGAAAACGTTTAAAAAAACTATGGTTATCTGAAAAGAGGACTGAGAAAATCAAAATCATGGGCAACACCCAAACAGTAAGTCAACGGGTAAGTCAAAAGGCAACCAACATACAGGTTAATCGGTAATAGCTCCAAAAAGGATTGTTGGATCACGTCATGATTAATTGCCTGAAGGAAGAGACGCTCCCTGATGAGTCATCCAAGAAAGAGATTTGAGTGCACAGCAGGCCATGACAGGCATATGATAAAGAAAGAAAAATGAAATTTTAAGTGAGGAAACTGGAAGAAAGTAGTGGCGACCAGTTAAAAATTCTATTGGTGGTGCCAGTTAGTGATGCGACATCGATAACAAAACATCGATGTTAACAATTATCGACATTCAAAATTAAAACATCAATGTTAATATACATCGATAAACTATCTGTTTTTAAACATCGATATGTTTTAAAACTGGTTTAGTAATGTCTATAATAAAAATTTGTGAGCAAAAACATTTTTACAGTAACCGTGTTTATTAGTTATAATGAAGATTAAACTAAAAAAACTAAAAATAATAAAACAAATAAAATGTTCAGTCTCAAAGCCTGAGCGCTCACAGGAATCTCAAGTGGTCACAGCTTCATGAGTTTGCTGAAGAAGGGTACAGGAAGAAGAAAGGAACCTTACACCCATGGCGTACGCCGCCTCTCTATGTGAAAAACACAAGGAAAGACGTACGACATACCAGGCCAACGGAGTCATCCTGAGTGAGAGATAGACTCCTCGATGAAGATAGTGCCATTGGTGCATTCCATAGTATAGAACGTGAACTACTGTGCCAGTTCGATTTTGGCACCATCTCATCCATACAAGACGCATACAAACCAACATAGTGTTCTTTATCCGGCGTTAAAGAGCCTGAGGCAACGCCATTCAGAAGGTGGCTCAGGTTAGGAGGAGGCCGACAGATAACAACACGCCGTGTGCGTTTGAAGAGAGTATTGATAGAGCATCGAATGACTAAGTGCTCGGTCAAATGAATTACTATAAAGAAAAATATTTTAAAGAAACGATATTTTATACACACATTTGTGAAATATATATATATATATATATATATATATATATATATATATATATATATATATATATATTTTACTTTTCCGTACGTAGTAATATACATAGTATATGGAATGTTATGTAATGCTGCGGAAAATCGATTTCAAGATTTCAACGGATATCCACGTTTTGAGGGCCCGAAAATGTTTCGGTTTTTCTAAACGTCCGTCTGTATATTCGTCCGTCTGTCTGTCCGTCCGTCTAGCTGGTGTATGTGAACAACACTAGCGCCTAAACCATGTGTAGAAATTTTTCAAATTTCGGAAATTCCTGCCGATCTATTCTGAGTCACAACTCTGCGATTTCGGAAAACAGTCATTAATTTTTGAGGATACTTTTCATGAAGTTCCTGGGGCATTTTCAAAATTTTCTCAAAAACGGCTCTAACTTTTTTCATTAAATTTCTTGTAAGAATAGAGTAACATACACTTATAAATGGCATATGTCCAATTTTCACATTTAACAATAATTTTTAAAATTTGCAAAAGTTTGAATATTTTTAGGCCTCTTCCTACAACTACAAAATTGAAGATAGAGATTTTTCCTTCAAATACAATTTGTACTCCATAGTGAGTTCTTTCAATAAGATCCTGTACTTTATTAGAAAATTTTAGTAGTTTTCGCGCAATATTGCGGGCAAAACGTGCAATTTTAGAAAATTACCAAAAAAATGTTTCAAAAAAAAAGATCCAATTTTTTTTTTAACTTTGGTAGGGATAGTGCTACATGCACTCTAAGATGACAAACTCCACATTGCTCCATTCTTTTGTTTGTTTTTTTGTTTTTAAATTACAAAAATGTAATATTTTTACTTCTCTCACGTCTTTAATATTTATATTAGCGACAATTTGCTCACATTATTATATTTATAAGTACATGTGCTTATAAATATAACGTGAAAATGAGCTCAAAATTCCACATTTTCAGAAACGCTCAAACGCTGTTTTTTAAAAACCGTTCCAAATTTTCTTCAAACTTTTTGAACAGATAGTGCTAATTGCACTCTTTAGTTTGACGTGAAGTTCACAGGGAATTTTGTTGCTTTTTAAAAAAGATTACAAATGTTTGTTTTCAAATATCTTACACGCCGTTAATATGTGCATTTCCAGCAATTCCAAATGAATTTATCGAAAACTCAATTTATTTATGAAAAAGTGCTTCAAATTTCGAATGTACAGTATTTTTTTTAAATGCTCCAATTTTTTCAAAGAAAATTGCCTTCTATGACTAGGTTTTACTGTTATTTAATATTCTTAAAATAAGATATTGAAACCTGTAACTGGATCTCACATAATTTGATGTTCAAAGAAAATATTCACTGGGTACTCAGGGTTTAAAATAATAATAATAATAATAATAATAATAATAATAATAATAATAATAATAATAATAATAATAATAATAGTGGGAATGGGGGTTTAGTAGACTACAATTAATAGAAATGGGAAGCACGCTTTACAACAAATCAGTATAATTTCAAAAAGAAAACAATATTACATACTAATACACACCTAAATGCAGTACAGGTTGACTAAGCACAAAACGAAACAAAATCTTATCACAGACACCGTCTAATTTAAGTATGAGAGGAGAACTCCATAAAATGAAAAAAAACACGTGTACAATTGGCTTCAGAAAGAACTTAAATTGTTACACTAGTTTTTAATGAATAACATTCTTTAGTTAGTAATTCCCATATCCATTATAAAATGCAATTATTTTTACCAACCCTATTGGCAGAAAAAACTCCATCATTAATCCCGATCATATAAGCTATCACCACCGCGCAGCGCACTGTTGCAATGAGAACAAGGTAATATAATGTTGAGATTTTCTTTCCTAACAACTAAGACCATTTAAAAACTATTCGTCAATCAATAGTTGAACCAGCTCTCTCTTTTGGAACCGAAGACAAATTAATTACCCGATGTATAGGTTATCTTGCTCCTTAACAATTCTCTAAACTGTTCGTCAATAAAACTGAAAAGCTAATCGCGCATTCCATATAATTATAGGTTGAAGAACTTCTCAACGTCCCTTGTTCCTTCCGCCGTCGAGATGTGACCTTACCAGCCGGGGTTCGTTACGTAGTTCTGACGTAGGCACCGTCCTCTCTCCCAGGCACCTGATCTCCGAGTTTTACCAACGCACACGTCGGTCGGGTGATTCTTGCAGTGTTCCCAGGCCAGAGTAATATTGGGCCAGTGGCGGCTCGTGGTCCTGCTATTTGGGAGTGCAACGCCTCTCGTCTCGCGCCCTTCCTCCCACCCACACTCTCTTCCTCTCTCTCTCTCTCTCTCTCTCTCTCTCTCTCTCTCTCTCTCT